AGGGGTAAATTCATGTCAAGCTAAAATTTCCATTGATTGATCTTACAAGCCCCTTTAACATTTTCTTAATAATGACACTTACAGGACCAAAGGGGAAATCAGACATGTCTATTCTGCAGTACCAGTTGCAGCAGCGTGCCCTGATACCGCTTTTGGCCAGGACTTATGCAGTGAACTTTGGTCTTGACTATGTGAAGGTGAGTATAAAGGCAGGGTTTATTGGGAAGATTTTGCTAGTTATCTTAGCTAGAGGAGGCAATCCATGGGTCTTCATTTTCCTTGTTCTGATATTAACATTATCAGGTATTAGAGGGAAAAAACAATCGGCAAAGATGTCAGTCTTTACAAAAAATGAAAATATGCATCAAAAAGACAACTATTGATGAATACTTTCATTACAGAGACGCTGGGCCTTCCAGTCACCTGATGGTTCTGAACACCCAGAGGTGGTAACCATGTGCTGCGTCATCAAACCTCTAGCATCCTGGAACCTGGAGGAAGTCGTGTCAGTTAGCCGAGAGCGCTGTGGAGGCCAGGGATATCTATCTTGTAACAGGTGGATATTTTTTGTTATTGTGTGTTGTAGATGTATGATCTGCAACTCCTTTTCAAGTACTGATACAGAAGAAGTATTTCACATGTGCTCTAAATTCTGACCTCAGTATTCCTTAGGAAGAACAGAAAAGCCTTTCTCCCTCCTGTACATCCCTATTCTCTCCCTATCTCTTTTCTCCTTTCCTCCCTCATTCACTCCTTTACTCTCTTCCTACCCCTCTACCTCTCTTTCCCTTTCCATATCTTCCTGCCCCTTTCCCTTTCTTCCTCTTCCTCTTCCTCATTTTCTCTCCCATAGGATAAGATATAGCATTCTTTCTCTCTCCATATATTTTAGGTTTGGAACTTTCCTTGGCTTGGCTCATGCTGCCATGACAGCTGAGGGAGACAACTGTGTATTGATGCAAAAGGTGGCAAAGGAGAGGCTGGCTGCATTCAAGCCACTGCCCATGAACCCAGGCCTTCCAGAAGATCCTGCCAACATTGCGTATCTGCATGACCTACTCAACCGAAGAGAAAACCAACTGTTCATGGTAATATCATTGGAGTGTTTATGGTTTCTGTTAACCAATTTGACCCAGATGCTTCACTGCTATCACATAACCCAAAATACAGGCATTAGGCTTCATCAGCCACTCTGACAGTTGCGTGGCTTGTAGGCCAATCACACAAGAACACTTGTGTGTGATGACAAGACTGTATGGCACCCCTTTGTAATGTTATTTCAGTATTCATTTTTTTGTAATATAATCTGTACCACCAGTTGCGGTGGCTAGGAATAGGTTATAGCACTCTTCCATTCATGGCTTATAGACAGAACATTGCATACTCAAAATATTTATCAATGGAAATAATACAAAAGCCCCTTTCTAAATGCCAAATAAGTCTAAACACTCCAAAAAGTTTGTGTACTTATGGTGAGTCTTTCCTGTCACTGCGGCCTTCAACCAAAATGCTCTGATAGCAAGTTCACATCACCCACCCTTTGAGCCAAAATTTTCCATGATGGGATGGTCATGTCATCCGGATTATAGAGGTTAAAGAAAGATTACAAATCAGTTCCCTTGACTATATGTAGATAGTAAGGAGAAGAAAGCACATTTACTGATGACATTACATCAGTAAACAGATGACAATTTTGTTTAACTTATATACATATATATAACTATTTGGTTTTGAAGTTAACTAAAGAAAATTGGTTACAGACTCTTGGCAAGAAGCTGATGGCTGCTGGAAAGGCAGGCCTCTTTGATACATGGATGATGCAGGAGTCAGACTTGGTGCAAGCTGCAGCCAGGGCATTTGGAGAAAGGCTCATCTCTGATCAGGTAAGCAAACAAAACAAAATGAACAAAAACTTAGTTTCAGTATTTCTTATCATTTCTTATCAGTTAAGCAAACAAAGCAAAATAAACAAAAATCTTAGTTTCAGTATATTTCTTATCATAAGTCCTTATAAATTGGTATTATGAATTTATGGAATGTACAAATTTGCTTGCTCTGTAACATAATTCTGGATTTTTGCTTCCAGTTTGGTGAGGTGATCAAAACCTGTGAGGACAGTCTGAAGCCTATTTTGACCAAGCTGCACCACCTGTATCTGGTTGACATTGTCGAAAAGAACTTAGGTGTCTTCATAGGCAATGGAATTATTACACCTGATGTTGCTACTAAGGTTAGCTCCAGTATTTTTCTTTCTTTTCTTTTTTTGTAATAACACCTTGATTTTTTTCCAGTCCGATAAATAATATTCTATAACTATTAAAGAACTCAAAGTATGCTATGCCTGTGATTCATATACATAATAAAACAAAGCAAAATTTTGAAGTCTGTAGATAATTGTTAGACATCAACCTTTAATGTTCATATTTGACATCTTGAAATGTGTTAATTTGGTTCGTACTCTTAAAAAGTAAAGTGCCTTTATTGGAAACGTTTTACTGTTCCCTTTACTGTGAACCAAACTGTGTCATGGCCATGTACCACCCATCACAGGCAGTGAGGAATGTAAGCATTAGTATAATTGACGTGTTAAGAGAAATTAACACAGGTAGCAAGAACCTGTGCGCAGTTGGATGTCATATAAGCATGGGTTCAAAATCATGGATTATTAAGTGACTAATTGGTTTGTATACTAATTGTATCCTTGTCACACACAAGCAGTCAAATGAGCAATCAAGCTTGTTATTGAAGCTGCTACAAGTGTGACCATCTAGGAAAGGAAAGTTACCTACATTAGGCCAGTGCTGAAAAGTAGGAGCATTATACCAGTTCGGAGATGAAAAATGATTTAATCCTGGCCTGATTACCAAATATACATACCTCTTTCCAGATAAAAACTTAGTTATGATACATTCATATATGTCAAAACTTGTATATTATAGTGTATTAAAAATATAAAGACTACATCTTAACATACATATAACATGGAAATCACCTGAATGGAAAATGCATTGCAGTATTGTGTTTTTATCCATAGACTTGAAAATTTTGCTCATTTAACAGAAACTTTTAAGTGGTAGGTGCTTAGGGGAGAAGTCCAAATTACTTACTATTTTAACTGTTATTTTCATGCCAATGTGTTCTTTCCCCAAAATGTTCCTTTCCAGTAAATAAAGCTGTAAATGTGCATAGCAGGAAAATGGATGATGAGACAGAATCTGGTTATCATCTTCGGACCAAAAACATATTCGTAATCTTTATTCTAACCCCAAATAAATTTGCTTTCAGGCAACATCAGTATCCCAGAGCTTGTGCAAGGAAATTGCCCCCCATGCCCTGACTCTGTGTGACGCCTTTGCCATCTCAGAGCCAATGCTGTCTGCACCCATCGCTTTGGACTGGGTCGATTACAATGTGGGAGACAACCAGGGAGAAGTCTAGAGACATGGCAGGAATATCTACCAATTTGTGCTTTGCTATAATAGGAGACTTTTTTTTAGATTTTGAATCACTTAGTCTTCTATTCATTGGTCTTTTTTCTGGCTTGTAATTTTAGAGTTGAATCTTTGTCAAGTTTTGATGTGAAGTTTATACCCGGTGCATGTTTTTTGATAGTCATTTAAGGACAGATAACAAATATACTGATATCAATGCAATTAGTAATAGGGAAATTATCATGTAAATAACATTTGCATTTTGAATTAATAAATATAGTTTTATTGTAAACTTTTTTTCTCCTTTCATGTTGAGGAATTCTTTCTTAGTACATGGTTTAAACTCAAAAAGATATTTTGGAAAGCTGATGTGGTGCTACTTATTAAATTTTACAGGTGATATTTTCCTCAACTTCAGAAATTATCAGTAAATGGTAAATGTACATAATGTATCATTTTGTAGTGATATTTCTTCTCTCACCATCTAGATAATTAAAGCTTCAAGACTATTGCTTATAAAATTTGATGTAAAATGTAGAAAAAGGGACGAATGAGATGGAATATCTTCACAGATGCATTTAGCCATTTTTAAAATTATTTAGATACATCTTTCACTACAAAGATAAGAATGTCAGATACATATACTAGGATATTTCAAAACAAAAACTGAATCTCGGCTAACAAATTTTCCTTAATATTCATCACTGGTAGCCATGAAAGCCGTGATACAACTGGCAATCAGTATCTTCCCAATATGTCCACAAAACCCTTTTGGAGCATCAATGTTTTAAGTATTATTTTTTCTCAAGCTCTTCTTTATGATGACAATATACAAGTGAAAGTATATTAACTGATGATAAATCTAGGATATCAGTCCTATAGTACGGTCCTCTCAAACCAGTGATTTGCTGCCTTTTTACACTCATGGACCCCTTTTTCAAACATCCAATACACCCCCACCGCCAACATCAGCTGTTCTTTTTCGTTTTTTTCCAACTAGCCTACATAATTTAGGCTAAGAAAATCAAACATTCAGCAATCTATACAAATTATAAGTACTGATAGGTTTTTGTTTTTGATGACATAGCTTCATCGTGTATTCCTGATACTAAAACTGACTAAGACCTTGCAAATAAGCCAATAGTATTTTTTTCCTCAAGGCTATGCATCCCCCTTATTAATCTTTCATGACCCCCTTGGGGTCACAACCCACCAACTGGAAACCACCATTTTAGACTACTGAATTTTATATGTATATTTTTTTATGATTATTATTATTTATCTATTTTATTGTTTCATTGATCATAAAAACTTGACAGCCAGTTGAAAATTAAGGAAAAGTGTGTAAACTGATGTTTTTTACTCAGGAAAGTAAAGGAACTGTCTTTAAAGCAGAACCTAGATTACATTAATTTCCTTGTATTGTAGATGAAAAAATTACACCACTTTGCAATAAATGGAAATTATAAAAAAAAATATCCCAACAAAGTGTAAGAAATAATAGGTCCTTAGGCCAATCTTTCCTCTTTAAGGAAATTTTAATATTTTCTGAATAAAATAAACATTATAAAATATACTTTTTCCTTTTATTTCCCTAAGTGTAATCACCTAAATAAATAGATATCAATGACATGTTTTATTACCTTTTTTCATATTACTTGTCATAGGTACACAAACTATGATTATCTGTACATGGAATCAAATTATGAAATTTGTAATTACAGTAAAAATCACCAAGTGTTTCCATAACAAACATTCACCATCCACACTATTTTCAACATTTTCAACCACAGCCTTTAATTTGTATTTTGAATTTCAGCACAACACATTTACTAAACTCATACTACCATTTTTAATGTTTATTACTTTTTTCCTTTTTTTTATGATGCAATTACACTTAAAAAAGGTTTTGAGAAAAGAAAAAAAAAAAAAAAAAAAAAAATTTATTTTCTATTTCTTCTCTTTTCTGAATCTTGTTTTCTCCCTAAGTTCAAGTTTCTTCTGTCTTCTCACACTGGCTAACACATTTTCAAAATTGGTTGTCTTTTTCTTGGCGCTGCCTTTTGGGCCAGCACTACCAGGCGTGCGTCGAGGGGTTAGACGTACTGTTGCTGGTTCATCATCAAAATCAAATCCTGAAGTGTCAATTCTGAGAAAGAAAATATTTGATATTAAATTCAAAGAACATAGACATCCACTCATCTGCTTAACGTAACTAGCAACATAATATCAATCTACATAATCATCCATTTGTTACATACTTTTCTGCCTCCTCTTCTCTGTCACTTTCAGAATCATCTTGTGAGGGAGTTAGGGGCCGTCTCCCTAGTTCCCAGTTCCACTTTATGGGCAATGACCCATCTTTGGCAAGGGCTTCATATAAACGTACTATTTCTGTGGCGCTTGGTTCAACTGAAATACAAAACTCTTGTTTAATCATCTACTTACAAAACACTATTATGATTATTTATTTAGCAATCATTGCATCACTTTTCATGTAGTAAAAACTCATTACTTAGTTATATAATAGGAATTGAATCATGACACTGCATTATCATACCTATACCAAATCAGCACTGAATTATTATTCACTTACCAACCTAATGACTCAGGAAAAATACATCATTGTAATATAATTTCCTAATTTGATATAAAATACATCATAATAAGTTTCCAGAAGAGTAGACAATGAATGTTTTCATTAAAGAGTAATTACCCAGTGGAGGAATACAAAACATTGAGAATAAGTGAAATAATGGTAACAAAACACAAATGAAAGTATAAGAAAGGCTACTAATGGGTTATTAAACTCAGTAAATATATGCCCACTTGCACTTGCCTCAAGCATTGACAAAGAAACCTACATATATATTTAGGCAAGACACAGTTAGAAGAACTGCATCCATGTTGACAAATGTAGAAAGGTATGAATGAGATGTATTTGACCAGTTTCGAATATATCTTCGTTAGAAATACATACAAACACATGTATTTCTGATGAAGATTTATTTGAAACCAGTCAAATACATCTCTTGTATTGTGAAGATATTCATTTTCATTCATACCTTTCTACAGAGTTAGAAGTCGCTCCATGGCAGTATATTTCTAGCCACAGTATATATGCTGGATGTACGTTGATCTTTGTTGAAATACAGAAGCAGTGCCATCATTTTTATGAAATTCTTTACCTGACAGTTTACCTATTTCAAGAAAGTGTATTGTTCTACACATCGGAATTCATTTATTACTTTTGATCACAAGTTTGCAGTAGATTCAGATAGAAAAGTAAAGCACCATTTTGAAAGCCACTGTGGCTGTCCAGTAAACAGTTACTATAAACACAATACCCCATACATTATGGACAGTGCCCAATAAACATTTACCATAAAAATATATACTATATATTACAAAGTGTCTCTTAAACCCATTGATGACAGGAGCCCCCAGTACCATACCAAAATTACACATCAGGGTGCATCTGGATTTAGCTGCTCAAGGGGAAAATCAGAAACACAAGAAACAAAAACCTTGCTCTCTGTGCTCTTGGCTGCAGCATAAACAGTTTTTTAGGTAATAATGGCCATAAGCCTAATTTTGAAGGACCACTATTCAACAAATGCAATAAAGGAAAAACGTGCACAACTGTTCAGCCTGCACAACTTAGAGCAGGGTCGATTGCACATGTCACGAAGACAGCATCCCAGCATAATGGGGTGGCATGATTGGGTTCATCCACAAATAGTAACATTCATTACACATCAAGGAAAATATAAGCATCAACATTGGTTGTGGTAATTTTTTGTTACCACAAATATTTGAAGTTAATCTTGTTATAATTCCATTCATCCCACCAAAACTGGCAAATTTTTCTATGACAGTACTGAGGCACATGCAGTGTAATGGGAGTTCTGGGCAATTCATATTTTGCTAAATAATTGATTCTACTATATTGGTTTATTAGACATCAAAAGAAATCTATGGATATCAAATTTGATAGGTTTTAAGAACCAGACTTATACTGGAAATTTACTGTTAGGTCAGAGAAGATGGTGTTTTGTATTTTACATGA